CTATGAGTCGGGGCCAACTTGACGACAAATAACAACAACAACAACAAAGTTAAGGCTAAGTAAGAACCATATGCACCTGGTCTGACTTACCTGCTAACTTAAAGACACTTAAGAATGATGGCGTTCGTAACCCAGGAATTGGCCCAGCAGGACCTTGGTGTGAACAGATCAAATAGGTACTGTTTCAACTATCGTCAAAAGATACCAAAGATCAACAACACATGGTTATTTATATTTAGGTTGGGCATGGGTCTGAACCCACAATCCTTTTGTATTGATGAGTGGCCTAGCTATTGTCCTGCCACTACATCTCAACTGAGAACAGAAATAGCTTTCTTGTAGCTGTCTCAGAGTCAGCAACAATAGAGTTTAAACTAAAACTTTAACATCTCTTTCACCTGAGCATCTGATGCCTGAGCGATTTATGTGCATTACTGTCTTCTTCTAGCGGACTGAAGCCCTCCACTCCCCACTGAATTCACAACCATTTCCTCGGGGGAAAAATGGCCCCTGGATGAAAGTGAGCTACTAGGATAGTGAAGAGAGTGTAGGATGGCACTTAGGCCAGAGACTGCAAAGGGTAAATTAAAGCGTGCTGTGTTTGATTCAGGCATGATGTGGGTATGCTCTGTACACAAACAAGCCAGAATTTCAAAGCAGCTTTCTATGGGACTTTGGTCCTGGACTATTCATTGTTAAGAGTCAGAAAGGGATATTTACAATTGAGGAGGGACTTTGCTGGGGTTTAAGGGGAGAGTACATACATGAATCTAGGGATCAGTGAAGATCCTAAGACATTTCAAGGGTCCCACATTTACAATGGGCCTCAGAGTTAGTGCTTTTGTCATTTCTTCTAAAGGAGTGATGAGACTGAAATAACCCATTCATAGTAAACTTAAAACTCATAAATCACTACTGGACCATGCTCCTGCACTGTGCGATACAAGAGTTTAAATTTTGTGTTTATCTTTTGAATAATACATTACATTGCACTTTTTGTAGTAAGATATTATTCTAGCGAATGTAAAACATTTTCAGTATACCACAATTTTTGTATTCCTATTATTTGAAAAGTCTTTGTGTTTTTTTCTTTGAACACAATGAAGCCTCAAAAAGTCAAAACACCTGATCTTCCTCTCCCTCTGAGAGCCCTGGGACTAGTCCATGGAAAGGGAAGGTGTCTCCTCTGTCTTATTAGTCAGGATGGATGCTGTCAGCAAATAAGGAGAGAAAAAATTAAATAGGTGTCGAGGTTGACCTGCTTTCCTTTGCAGGCTGCGTTATTCCCTTGGCACCCATTTCAGGTTAGATGTGCTTATCTTCCTTCCCCTCTAGATTGCTGGCTCTTTATCGAATCATAAAGTGAGCCCCAGAGGTGTTAAACAGCGGCTCAAGGTCACCCGGGCAGGCAGCAGCTGCGTCGGGGCCCGAATCCACGCCTGGTTTAGCTTCTTTATAAAATCACATAGTCGTCAGTTGTGCTGTTTTGGGGAATTCTTGTTCAGAGTCACTGCCACTTTTATTACACTACGTGCACCTCAAGGGGGAACTGTGTTCTCTGTAGCACTCAGAAACAGGCAGAAATGGAACTCATTGGTCCTTAATAACTATGACCATTCTTATTAACGTTCTATGTAGATTTATAAACATGTATAGATATACATGTATATATATATGTGTGTGTGTGTGTGTATTTTTTTTTTAAAAAAAGCCACCATCATCAAGTTGATTCTGACTCATAGTAACCCTATAGGACAGAATAGAACTGCCCCATAGGATTTCCAAGGTTGTAAATCTTTACAGAAACAGACTGCCTCATCTCTCCCCTGAGGAGCAGCCAGTGGGTTTGAACTGACCTTTTGGTCAGCAGTCAGATGCTTTAATTATTACCCCACCAGAGCTCCTTATGCATATATATATACACAGCATACACACACACACACACACACATATCCTTATATTTTCAAAATAATATTGATATTGACCTTCAGGCACGAGACACTAATTTTTATATTTATTGGATTAAGGAACACTAGCCCTTCTCACCCCTATGTCCATGTCTTGTTCTTCTCTACATCTCCCATTGTGGTTTAGTAAAAAAGTTAGGAGCTTGCCCACCAGATTAGTGAAAAAATAAGAGATAGGTGGCATTCAGCGTTGGTGCAGATGTGAGGGAACTACAGGCACAGCCTCCTAGGGCTGGTGAGTGCTAGTCCTTATGACCTTTTTTTGGGGGCAGCCATTAACATTTTACACGCACTTCCTCTGTGACCCGAGTCCTACTTGTAGACACCTGTTCTATAGAAATGCTGGCACCGCACAAAGGGACGTGGACAGGTGCAGTTGGAACCAATCAGAATGTCCATAGGGAAGCTGCGCAGTCGACTATGAAACATCCATTCTGTGTGATGCTATGACGCAGTTTGAAAAACTGAGGTGGACCCAGAAACGCTAACCTGGCAAGAGCTCCAAGGCACACTGTCTAGTGACGAGAAGCAAGCTGCTCATTAGTGACATTGACTGGATGTCATTGATGAGGAGGAGCCATTTGTGTAAATATGGGAAAAGACAATGGCTTTGGGGGGTAGGCAATCAGTGGAAGGGAGACTTTTTTTCTTTTGTGGATGCACCACAGCTTATGTAACCACTCCCCTGATGGATGAACACTAGGGGTTTCCAGTCTTTCTATTACCAACAGTGCTGCAATCAATAACGTTGCACAGATGTGGTTACATGCTTGTGCAGGTATGTTTGTGACATAAACCCCCAGAAACAGAAATGCTGCATCAAAATGCATTAGTAATTTGGGAGTTAGACCATTTACACTCCCATTAGTAATGTAAGAGTGTGTCTATTTATTACTATTATTATATTATTGTTGTAAAATTCACACAATAGAAAACTAACCATTGTAAAGTGTGCAATTCAGTGGCATTTGACGCATTTAAAATGTTGTGCAAGGTGGAGACTTTTGCTTTGTCCGCAATGTTAGAAAGTAGTTTACAATGAGAATGCTTCATGTATTCCTTATTTAGCTAAAAATGAAAAGAAAAATAAGAGCAGCAGCTCTGGGTGTGGATCAAGGGGCTGCCCTTCAGTCGTTGCATGACCTGAGGTAATGACTTACCCCTCGGGAGGCTTAGTTCCCACACCTCTTAGATGGAGACAAGCAAACTCACATGTGGAGCCAATGAGAAGATTAGCTGTGCTGAGGGATGAGAGCAAGTGGCTCATCGCAGCTGTAAATGTTAGTTCCCTTCTCCCCCAGGCACTCTGGAGGGATTGCACTCATGGGCTCTGGCCTCAGCAGCACAGGTTCAAATCCCAGATCCCCCTTTACTCTTAGCCTTTTTGAGCCTTGGTTTCCTCATATGTAAAATGGGGATAAGGACTCAAGAAGGAGCCCTGGCAGCACCATGATTAAATATCCAGCTGCTAACTGAAAGGTTGGCAGTTCAAACCCATCAGGAGCTCCACAGGAGCTGGCAATCTGCTCCCATAAAGATTTTTTAAAGAAACAAATAAACCACTGCTGTCGAGTGTATTCCGACTCATAGCAACCCTGTAAGAGAATAGAACTGCCCCCATAGGGTGTCCAAGGCTGTAATATTTACAGAAGCAGACTGCCTCATCTTTTTCCCACAGAGCAGCTGATGGTTCAAATCACCAACTTCTTTAGTAGCCAAGGGTTCCCAATGAAGATCACAGCCTAGGAAACCCTATGGGGCATGTCTACTCTGTCACTGAGTCAGAATTGACTTGGAGGCATGCAGTGACAACAAGGACTCAATAAGACAGTGCATATAAATTAGATGACACACCCATGTCACCAGCACTGGGATCAAGAAACAGAGCCCCACCCACACCCCAGACACCTCCTCGTGCTCCCTCCCAGTTACTACTGGGATGTGTTTTGATTTCTGTCCATACTCATGCCTCCTTCAGTAGAACCAACATTTCACCACCTCTAGGAGTCTTTGTGGGTTTACTGGTTTTTATTCGGGGCTGACAGGGAGCACCCGAGTGGCCTGGTTGCCTGCTCCTGGCTGCTGGCTACACAGAAATGCTCATGGACCAGGAGCCTGACCCGGTGCCTGGCACCGTAGGTGCCCAACAAGTGAGGGGCCTGATGAAGCTGTTGCACCTGCTTCTCTCTGCCCCAGGGCCATAGGCGCCAATCCCCTGTACTGCGACTGCCACCTGCGCTGGCTGTCTGGCTGGGTGAAGACAGGCTACAAGGAGCCGGGCATTGCCCGCTGTGCTGGGCCCCCAGACATGGAGGGCAAGCTGCTCCTCACCACACCGGCCAAGAAGTTTGAATGCCAAGGTGAGCCCAGGAGCATGGGGGAAGGGTTGGGGGAATGCTGAATTGTGGCCCACCTCCTGCTGCTAGGGGCCTGCTCAGCCCTGGCTGGCTTTCCTGATGCTCCCGTGTCCCTGAGGTGACTGGTTGGCTGGGGGTAACATGGCAGGAACTAAATACCTGCTGCTAGTTAGAAGGGCTACCTTCCGGCCCTAACATAGAAAAAACTGAAAAAGCCAACCAAAAGACCTCAGGCCGAGAAGGCTGTAACCCCTCCCCCTGGTTATACAAGGAAAATAAAAATAGCAATGTTTCTGGAAGCTCCGAGCCTCACAGCAGTGCGAGCACTGAGCTCTCTCTTGTAGGAACTGTGCTCACCAATTAGCTTAAAACCCACCCCCGTCCCTGGGGGAGCCGCTCTGCTCAGCCACCAGTCTCTTGATATTTGCAGAAATGCAGGCCTGAGTGTGACTGAAGCTTTATTCTGGCTCTTTTAGCGTAGTGCCTAAGGCACTTGACTGCTATCCAGAAGGCTGGTGGTTCAAACCCACCAGCCACTCCTCGGAAGGAAGGTTGGGCAATCTACTTCCGTAGTAATACTGCCTCAGAAACCCAAGGAGGAGTCGCTATGAGTCGGATCCGACTGCACGGCACATAACAACAACCTCTTGGATATCTCTGTAAACGCTTGCTCAGGGATTCACTGACTGACTGACTGATGACTCCAGCCTGGGAGGCCCCACTGAGCAGAGAGGGGGAGCCCCGGGCTCTATCCTGTGTACAGCAGGACACCTGGGGAAGGGCTGAGAGGCCAAGGGCCACAGCCCCTGCCCTCTGCAAGCTTCTAGACTGCTGTTGGAAATGAAGCTGACAGCCACAGGTTAACGAGGAGGCCCTGGCCACCCTATGTGCAGGATATTGTCATAGCAGGATCAGCTCGGAGGGGCCCCATCTGTGGCTTGGAGGTCCGGAACAGGCCAATTTGTGTTTGAACATTTGCTCAGTGTTTATTTAATGGGGTAGGGTTGCTGCGAGTCAGAAGTTTTTTGTTTTTTTTTTTAACTTTTTATTGAAATATAATGCACACCCAAAAAAGTACACAGGTCATAAGTGAATTGGCTCCCTGAATTCTTACAAACTGGACTCACCCATGTAACCAGCACCCTGATCAAGAGGCAGGATCCTCACTGCGCCCAGAGACCCCTTGTGCTTCCTTCCGGCACTACTGGGAGATGTGTTCATTTCTAGTCACCCTCCTGCCCCTTCAGAAGAATCAATATTTCACCACTAGGGTCCTTGGATGGCACAAATGGTTTGTGCTCAACTGTTACCAAAAGATTGGTGGTTTAAACCCTCCCAGTGGCTCCGTGGAAGAAGAGCCGTGACGATCTGCCACCCTAAAGATCACAGCCAAGCAAACTCTATGAGCGGCTCTACCGTGTAACACACGGGGTCGCTATGGGTCAGAACCCACTGGGCAGCACCAAGATAACAGCAGAAAGCTTATGTGGAAATGTGGGTTAACTGGCTGGATCTCATGATGTATTCTTGTGTGGGCTTACTGTCCTGGCAGACAGTGCCCCGGGTCACCTGGCTGCTGGCTCCTCTATCCAGCTCTAAGTCCAGGGAACGGCATGCACAAGGCCTAAAGACTGGAGAAGGTCTTGCCTACAGCTGGAAGGTCCTTCCTGGGTCACTTGTGGAGGGAAGTAGTTTCAGGGCGAACGGCTCTTCCTCCTGAGCGCGGCCCCCTCGCAGTGCTATGCTGGGCCGTGCTGGATACCCACCAGCTGAGGTGGCCGCCTACTAGGCAAAGGTGTGGCAGACAGAGATGACGCCGGCTGGATGGTCTCACACCACGGGCTGCACCATGTGTGCAGCAGTCCTTCTGGTCAAGTGCAGGTAAAGCACTTTGCGGGGATGAACTCACATGGTCTGGTCTGTACAGCCCTGTGAGGTTGGGGGTGTCATTAGCCCCATTTTTCAGAGAAAGGTCCAGAGACTAGAGAGGGCACCATGGAGGGAGAGTATGAGCAGGATCTAGAAGAACCACAGGGAGAGGCGAAAATCTTGGCGAAAGATTTCCCCCCGACTCTCCCTGTGCAGGGCTGGGAATCGTGGGGCAAGTGCTCGGCGCCCAGCGCTGCCCTGCCCTGTCCCCCTACTTCCTCCTGCGCTCAGTGTCTGATTACCCAATAAGCAAGGTAAGCACGGGCTTACTTGTGCTTCTTTACTGATCTGTAGTGAATAAACCAAACCAAACTCACTGCTGTCAAGTTGAATCCACCTCATAGTGACCCCTCCTTGAGCTTCCGAGGCAGTGTCTCTCTGGAAGTAGATTGCCCCATCTTCCTTCCAAGGAGTGGCTGGTGGGTTTGAACCATCAGCCTTCTGGTTAGCAGTCAAGTGCCTTAGGCACTATGCCACCAGCGCTCCCTCTGTAGTAAATAGTTTCACTTGTTTTTCACCACAATGATCAATGGATTTAATGAAAAGTAAGTGAAACTATTCACTACAGATAGTAAGTAAGCACAAGTAAGCCCGTGGATCCCTAGTTTATGAGGTAATCCGCCTCTGCATGTGCTGATATTCTCCCCCTTGCCGCAGGTCCCCCGACTCTGGCCATCCAGGCCAAGTGTGACCCCTGTTTGTCCAGCCCATGTCAGAACCAAGGCACCTGCCACAATGTCCCCTTGGAGGTGTACAGGTGTGTCTGCCCCAGTGGCTACAAGGTGAGTGGAGGCTGAAGGCTGCGGAGGAGGAGGCTCCTCGTGTGTGCAGTTGGACAGGACCAGGACAGGGGGGTCTGTCTTGTCTGTCACTGTCCGCAGTGCCCAGAACAGTGGCGAGTTCATCAGTGACTGAGCATAAGAATGAATGAATGGCTCCTGGGAAGGAGGGGTTGGCATCTCTGTTGGTTCACACTGACCCTGGTTCTCCCTGGGGTCCTCACTGCGGACTTTTCTCCCCAGGGCAGAGACTGTGAAGTGTCCCTGGATGACTGTTCCAGTGGCCCCTGTGAAAATGGTGGGACCTGCCTGGCACAGGAAGGTGACGATGCTGGCTTCACGTGAGTTGCCTGGAGAGGCAGGAACTTGGTGGGCAAGGGTGCTGATGGAACCTTGCACCCAAGCCTCAGTGCCCCCCTCCCTGTGCTGGACTTGTCTGGGTCTCCCCTCTGCTCTGGGAGGAGATGGGGGTGGGGTTCAGGAGATGGGCATCCACTTTGTAGATGAAGTGACGGCACAGCAGGCTAGAGTCAGAGTTGGGTTGGCCTTGGAGTGGCTCTGCTGGCTGCTGGTCTCAGCCCTTTACTCTTGCCAGGTGCCAGGGGCTCCTTCTGATGGCACTGGAAATCCACAGCCAAGTGCAAAGGCAGTGGCAGTGCCAAGAGGCAGTCTGGGGGCATTTGTAACCCCCATAATCTCCATGAATCCCCTCAAAGCCTCCAGTCTAAGTCAAGACCCCATGCTTGTAAAGCCAGTCCTGCTCAGGACAGGGGCCTCAGTGAGCCCCCTGCCTTCAGCCAGCCCCCTGAGCCCTTGCTGCCATTGTGGGGTGAGGTACCCAGAGGTGGGAGCCAAGTCCTAGCCACTCATCTCATGTGTCACACTGGACACTGGTCCGAAGGGGACAGCCCCGGTGGTCCCACCATGAAGGGCCCAGCCTAATGATCTTATTTCCTAAGCCCATCTTGTGCCCACCTTGCCATCCAAGTCTCCTCCCCACCCCCACCTGCTTTCCTCAAGGGCCCTCAGTGAGCCCCCCTACCCCCGAATTCCCTCCACCTGGAGCTCTTTTGGAGCATACAGAGTATTTCGTTGCTAAAAATAAATTACCAACAGGGAGAGAGCAAATTGGCCCTTCAGAAAATCATGTTGACTCTACTGGCAGAGATGGCCAAACCTGTCGCTGCAAACCCAAATTACCAGATGTAAAAAATAAACCGCTAAATGGCCCCTCTGCCCTGTCATCACCTTGGAAACGGCTTTACAATAGGCTCCCGTGCTCCTCTGAGCTTTGGTGAGCTGCTCCATCAAAGCTGCCTCTCCCCGTTCCTTAGACTCCTCAGGGGGCCTGTGGAGAGTAGGGGCTGGAAGGACACTCCCCAGAAACTCCCCTGCTGGGCAGAGAGGCATGCACTCCGGTGGGGTGGGATAGCCCCTCACAACCTGTTAGCCTTGGAGATTGAGAGATTGTGAGGGCTAAGGGCTGCAACCCCAAATCGCCCCTCAACCCTGAGGCTTACAAGGGCCTCAGGAGTGGACCACGGTTGCTGCTTGGGGGGTAGATGGCTATGGAAGCTGATAAACCTGACACACTTCTTCTGCAACACCCATGGAGAGTGCTGTAGGTGGGCACTGGGGCGAGCCTCAGCGACGATGCTGAGCTCCTCAAGGGCAGGGCAGGTGTCTTCTCTCCATGTGCCCAAGAAACAGACTGTCTGGGAAAGGAGACAGTCTCACTGTGCCAGGTGACTTAAAGACGGGGAGTCACCCGCACAGCACAGTACAAACTGCCCACTGAAAGGGACTTTTAGAGTCCATCCTTGCAATCCCCTTTCCACCTTACAGAGAAGGAAGCTGAGGTCCCCTGTGGGTGAGCAGTGGAGCCTAGAGGAGAGCCCAGGGGTCCTGCACACGGGCTCTGACGCAGGAAACAGGGTCTCCCCTGCAGCCAGTCACAGGGCGTCCTGGGCCCTTGCGGGTGTGGAGGTGGAGAAGGCAGCAGACAGGCTCAGAGCCAGGCAGGCTGACTGTCCCGGGGTGGAGCAGGGGTGGGCCTGGATGGGTGGGAGGCCTACAGTGGCTTCTCAGCTGCCACCTGTGTGGACCAGTGTCCTGCACTGAGACTGACAATTACTGCAGAAGGGGAGGAAGAGAGAGGAGCTGGTGGTCCTTGGTGCACCATACTGGGGACCTGCTACCAGGATTCAGGGGCAGCTCTGGGGAGCCTAGTGGGGACAGCCCAGGGGTGTGATGGTGCAGTAGACTCCCTCCCACCCCGCCCCTCTGTTGTCCGGGACCTGGCCTGCTCTACTGCCCTGCCCCCAACTCCAGCTCAGGGGACTTTCTGAAATGCAAAGCTAATCCCATTACCCCCTGCTTAAAACCTCTTTGCTCACATACTCCTGACATACATTTTTTAAAACTATAAATAAATTTTTAAAAACTATATATCCCGGGAAGAGAGCAGTTACATTGTGGGGAATTGCAGTCAATGCCATGAACAAAATGTGTATGAACTGCTATATGGAAAATGAATTTGCTCTGTAAACTTTCACCCAAATCACAATAAAAATAAAAAAAAACCTATATATCCCCACACACACAGTTTTAGATTGACATCTTTTTCATTATAACTTTAATTTTTCATTGCTAAGGGGATAATTTTAGGATATTGTAAATATTATTAACATTTGAAAATAAAACTTTTCTTTAAAATATCTTCAATGGGATCTAAATCATGGAGTTTGATATCACTTTATAATTACAAGCTTCTCTGGAACAGTTAACATTTTATCTTGTTCTTGTTTCTCCTTAAGCTGGTATTTCCATTCTGCAACACCCCCCGCCCTTTTCCTTTTCATGCATGACGTTTTTATGCCCAAAGTCTTTTCTGAAGCATACTTCTCTGCCAACATAGGATAGAAGCTTAAATATGAAGTTTGTTCTTTGTTTCTTGTGACCACAAGCCCCTGATTAAAAGTTCCTTCTGCACTGAGTTATCATTACAGTGATCAATAATGCACGATTGATCAAAACAACATAATTGTATTACACAACTTGATTGGTAAGAATTGCATGTAACAGTGAAATTTTATTAGATTGTAACTCTTGATGAGACGAGAGGACTATTTTTGTTTTCTTCTCTCTCTCTTTTTTTTAAAACTTTTTATTTTGACTTGGGTGAAATTTTACAAAGCAGATTTGTTTTACATTCAATAGTTCATGCACATTTTATTTTGTGATACTGGTTACATTCCCCACAGTGTAACAGCTCTCCTCCCACTTCCTCCCTGTGGTTACCCTTTCCCTGTGTCCTTCTTGCCTAGACATTCCTGCCTCCCTACCCTTCTCCCTGTATAAATGCTGTTTTCTTCTCTTCGATGGATGTGTGTTCATGGATGTTATAGGAGAGAGGGCTTAGCATCTAGGCTGTTCCTTTTTTCTCTTCTTCTTCTTTATTAATATGTATAAATGCTGAGAGAGTTTGTTCACATAAATCAACCCATGAGATGAGAAGGTTTTATTATAGCCATGCCACTCAATTCTTTGAAATCCTTCCGAATTTATGTGCCAAAAAAACCCCAGAATGATCTGTCATCGAAAATTATTTTTACAGTCTATCAGCTGACAATCCTCTTTCAATTAGTTTTGAGGCATCTACTGGGAACCTCCTAACTTGCAAATGCATTTCCTCATTCACTTTCTGAATATCAGTCTTCCTAAATGGTAGCATAGTGCCTAAGGCACTTGACTGCTAACCAGAAGGCTGGCGGTTCAAACCCACCAGGCACTCCTCGGAAGGAAGGTTGGGCAATCTACTTCCACAGTGATACTGCCTAGGAAACCCAAGGAGGGGTCGCTATGAGTTGAATCCGACTCGACGGTACATAACAACAACAACAACAACAACAACAGCAAATGTTCCTTTATTTGATGCTGAGGATTTTAGGCCCCCAGGCATGTCCCACCTTGGACTTATGCTGAGTGAGAGGTGGGGAGTTCTGGGGTAGCTCAGCTGAGGGAAGAGTTCACGTGGGACTTGAAGATCTAGAGATTAGTTTTGTAGATCCCTCTGACCCACGTGCCCCTTGGACAATTCCTGGCTGCCCCAGAGGAAGTATATACTAGCTTGAGGATCACAGATCTCCAGGGTCCTCCACACCTGGCTCCTGCTCACCTCTGACCCCATTCTCACCCTCACCCCTGACGGCTGTGCTCCTCAAGTCTTGAACTAGTTAGATGGGCAGATCCCCTCCCAGAGGGCTGGACGCTGGGCTTTTGTATGATCCTCTGTCCAGACAACCTTCCCTCTCTGCCCTGCTTTCCATGTCAAGGTCCTTTGTTAACCCCTCACCTCCTGGAAACCTGCCCTGGGCCACTTACCCCAAGGAGGAGTTGAGTGCCTTCTGTCCCTTTGTCCCTGCTCACCTCAGTGCTTATACCAGCTTGATAGTCACCATCCTCCCCCACTAGACTGTGAGTGAGTCCCATGAAGGCAGTGCCTGGTCATGTTCACCTTTATACCCCCAGCACCCAATACAAGGCCATGTCTGGATTGGGTCCAGAATTCTGTGAAAAAGTGGTGGTGATGGTGGCCACAGGCTTCCATCAGAGCTCTGGAAAAGTCTGCCACCTGGTTGTGGGGTCACCTGTCTCTCCTTCCTCCTCCTCCTAGCAGGTGTTCCTGTCCCACTGGCTTTGAGGGACCAACTTGTGGAGTCGACACAGATGACTGCGTGGAGCACGCGTGTGTCAATGGGGGCATCTGTGTGGACGGCGTGGGCAACTACACCTGCCAGTGCCCCCTGCAGTACGCAGGTAAGTGTGGCAGGTTAAAGTGTCTGGGTGGGCGGCCTGGGCTCCTTCATCTGTGGCTGCAGAAGTTGGTACTGAGCTGGCTGCCTGGGCAAGCACAGGAGGGCCGCTTCTCTCCTGCCTCTCATTCATTCTTTCCCCAGGAAAGGCCTGTGAGCAGCTGGTGGACTTCTGCTCTCCAGATTTGAACCCATGTCAGCACGAGGCCACGTGTGTAGGCACCCCAGATGGGCCCAGGTCAGTGTTTCCTGTTTCTGGGGTCAGGGAAGAGACACAGTCCCCAAGTCAGACGGGAGTCCACCTCTCCCCACCTCTTGTGTCTTCCCTGTTATGGGGATGTAGTCTCAGCTGTGCAGGGTTCTCCTAAGTCAGGGCGGCATGTGTGTAGGAGGAGGCATTTATGCAGCTCATTGGCTGTATGACCTTGAGGGGATCTCTTGACCTCTCTGAGCCTTGGTGTTCTCATCTGTAAACTGGGTGCAATGATAGCTCCTCCAGGATGGTTGTAAGGATGGAAAAGAGCACAGAAAGCATTTGCCCACATCTGACATCTAGTAAGTGTTCCCATGTCTGGTAATAGTAAGAGCTATTATCATCCTGATCTACAACCTCTCATCAAAGTACAAAATCCACAAAGCCCATTGGATGGTATAATCTGATCTGACCTGATCATAGCTGATAATAAAAACTGACCTGCACTAACACAAGGTTATTTCCAGTTTTTACTTATTCTATACAGTGTGACTATCTATAGATTTTGCTGAAGAAATATGAACATGTTTGATTATCGGGACACCATAGTCACTGGCATAATCATAGTCACGGGCATATCCCGTAATCTGCAGTTATATGCACTGTCATCTTTCCAAAAACTCCCCGGATGCAAATGATAGGTTGACATTCTGAGTCCACCCGGAGGTCCCTCAGAAGAAAGGCCTGGTGATCTACTTCTGAAAACTCAGCCAATGAAACGCTGTGGGGCCCAGTTCTACCCTGAGACACGTGAGGTCACCATGCGTCAGAATTGACTCGAGGGCAGCCACTTCCTGGTTTGAACCCTTGAGGTGGGGGATTGCTGCCGGTGGAGACAGGTCTGACCACAGGGGAGGGTGGGGGTCCTTCCAGGATGGGACTATCTTGCAAGGCCATGGCTAAAGCCAAGGTGCAGGAGCAGACCCTTTATTTGATAGGCAAATAGTTGGTCAAGATGGGTTTTGGGGAGAACAGTGAGGTGTGGTGAGAGCTGGGAAGCTGGGGGCTGGCTTGCCATCCAGGTAACTCTGAGAGATGGGCATCAGCCCTGCTGGGGGCTGAGAGGCTGAGAGAGGGAAGATGTGCCCTTGTGACTCAGGGGCCCGTGCTGCTGGGTCTTGGGAGAACAGCTGAGCAGCAGGAAGGCTGGGAAGGGAGGATGGCTGTAGGTGGTGGATCCTCCATAATAAGAGTCCTATCTCTTGCTACTTCTGGGCATCTCCCCTCCCAGGCCGGGGCCCCATTCCAAGTCTACAGAGCTCCTCTCCTGCCCCAGGAGGGGAGCCCAGAGTGGCTGGGAGGATGTTCTGTCTAGGGCTCATCTTGACTTACTGGGCTGGGGGGTTCTTCATCACATGCATAGCCCCCACCCCACAGGCTGTGTGGGTCCTTGGGTCCTGGTACCCGCCCCTGGTGGAGCTCTGGCTGAGTGTGTGGCTGTCACCCACCCACTCCTGCCTGCCCCCAGGTGTGAATGCACACCAGGGTACACAGGCGACAACTGCAGTGAGAACCAGGATGACTGTGTGGACCATCGCTGCCAGAATGGGGCCCAGTGTGTGGACGAAGTCAACAGCTACTCCTGTCTCTGTGCCGAGGGCTACAGGTGAGCGGACCCTGGTCACACCACAGTGACTACTCACCGCCCCTCAGCCTCTGGGCTGCAGCAGCCTCCAGGCTCTGCTAGGAGTAGGGGTGAGAGTCAGAGCCTGGGAGTTGAATTCGGGGGTTTTCACCATGGCTATGCTAATCACAAGGAGCCTTGGTGGCTCAATGGTGCTTAACTTGGCCGCTAACCAAAAGGTTGGTTGTAGGAACCCACCAGCCTCTCCACAGGAGAAAAGACCTGGAGATACCGTGCAGAGCAGTTCTCTCTGTCCTATAGGGTCACTATGAGTTGGAATTGACTCCACAATAACAACATGACAGTCACCAGCTCTGCAGCCTTGGAAAAGTTACTTGACAGCTCAAAGTATAGGCAGAAGGTCCCTTACCTGTTTGGTGGAGGGGTGGGAAGTGGGTACAAATTACTGGGCAGTATTCCATTACTCACCTGCCCAGCGGACCCTCTGCAGACATGGCCATCAATGGCAGGTAACATCAACTGCTTCCCTTGCCCCACCATTGGTCATTTACCCAGTGCCCCATCATGGCTTCTCCAGGAGGTTGGGGAGGACACCTACCCTGCTTCTAGCTCTCCCATTCTCCATGCTTTTTTTTTTTTTTTTTTAAACAGCTTTATTCAGATATAATTCACAAACCATAGAATGCACCCATTTAAAGTAAACAGTTTAATGTTTTTTGGCATATTCACAGGAGTGCGCAGCCATCACCAGAGTCATTTTTAGAACATTTTCATCACCCAAAAAAGACAACCTGTGGTCCTTTGTGGCTGGCTTCTCTCACTGAGTATAAGGTTTTCAAGACTCATCCATGTTGTAGCATCAATTAGTACTTCATTTCTCTATACTGCTGAATAATACTCCATTGTGTGGATATATGATATTTTGATTATCCATTCATAGTTGGTGGACATTTGGGTAGTTTCCACTTTTTGGCGACTATGAGTAACGCTGCTATGGACATTTAGGTGTTTTTTCTTTTTTTGGTGTGGACATAAAATTTCAATTTTCTTGAGTATATACCTAGGTGTGGAATTGCTGGGTGATATTGTAACTAAGTTTAATTATTTGAGGAACTGCCAGAAAGTAGCTGAAGCATTTTACATTCCCACCAGCAAAGTATGAGGGTTAATTTTTCTGCATCCTGACCAACACTTGTTAGCATCTGTCTTTTTTATTATGGCCATCCTAATGGTGTGAGTAGGGAGCTCTGGTGGTGTAGTGCCTAAGGCATTTGACTGCTAACCAGAAGGCTGGTGGTTCAAATCCACTAGCCACTCCTTGGAAGGAAGGTCGGGCAATCTACTTCCGTAGTGATACTGCCTTGGAAACCCAAGGAGGGGTGGCTATGAGTTGGATCCGACTCAACGGCAGTGCATTTGGTTTTGGTTTAATGGTGTGAGTGACAGCTCATTGTGATCCTGATTGACACTTCCCTGATGACTAATGATATTGGGTGTATGTACTTATTGGCCATTTATATATCTTCTTTAGAAAAATAGCTATTCAGATGCTTTGCCCATTTTTAAATTATTTGTCTTTTTATTATGAGTTATAATAGTTCTTTAGATGTTCTAGACACAGGGCAGTTCTTTAGATGTTCTAGAACAGGGCAGTTATAGAACTTTATATGTTCTATAATAGTTCTTTATATGTTGTTCTTTACCAGATACATGGTTTGCAAACAATTTTTCTCATTCTGTAATTTGTCTTCTTACATCATTGATGGCATCATTTGTAGCACAAAAGTATTAAATTTTGATGAAGTTCAATTTATCTATTTTTTTCTTTTGTCAGGTGTGCTTTTGGAGTCATATTTAAGAAACCATTACCTAACCCAGGGTCTTGAAAATTTCCACCTATGTTTTCTTCTAAGAGTTTTATAGATTTAGCGCTTACATTTAGGTCTTTGATCCATTTTGAGTTAATTTTTGTGTATGGTGTGAGGAAGGATTCAAAACTATGTTATATCCTGCAAACTTGGTGAACTTTTTGTTAATTCTAATAGTTTGTGTGTGTGTGTGTGTGTGTGTACGTGAATTCCTTAGGATTTTCTTTATAAGGGTCACATCATCTGCAAGTAGAGGTAATTGTATTTCTTATTTTCCAATCTGGATGCCTTTTCTTTTCTTACCTAATTGCTCTGTTTGTACCTTCAGTACGATATTGAATAGAAGTGATGAGAGCAGTCATCTGTCTTATCCAGGTCTTAGGGGGAAGGCATCCAGTCTTTCATCATTAAGTACAGTGTTAGTTGTGTGTTTTATATGATTTATGAAGTTCTCTTCTATTCCTAGTTCGTTGAGTGTTTTTTATCATGAAGGGTGTTGTGTCAAATGCTTTTTCTGTGTGTATTGAGATGAGTATGTGGTTTTTGTCTTTTATTCTATTCATATAGTATATTACTTTGATTGATTTTCAGATATTAAACCAAGCTTGCATTCCTGGGATAAATCCTACTTGGTCAGAGTATATAATCCTCTTTATATATTACTGGGTTGATTTACTAGTATTTTGTGCAGGATTTTGTGTCTTTATTCATAAGAAATATTGGTATGTAATTTTTTTTCTTATGATATCTTTGTCTGGTTTTGATATCAAAGTAATACTAGCTTCATGGAATGAGTTAGAAGATGCCCCTCTTCTATTTTCTGGAAGGGATCATAAGTAATTGGTATTAATTATTCTTTAAAATGTTTGGTAGAATTCACCAGTGAAGGCTTCTAGTTCTGGGATTTTCAGAGTGGGGAATTTTTAAAAATTATTATTACTAATTCAATCTCTTATTATTAGTCTATTCAGATTTTCTATTTTTCTCTTAAGTCAGTTTTGGTAGCTGGTGTGTTTCTAGGGATTTGAACATTTCCTCTATGTTATCTAATTTGCTGGCATACAGTTGTTCATAATATTCCCTTACACAAACCCACTGCCATAGAATAGAATCCAACTCATAGTGACCCTATAGGACAGAGTAGAACTGCCCCACAGGGTTTCCAAGGCTGTAATCTTTACAGAAGTAGATTACCACATTTTTCTCCCATGTAGCAGTTACTGGGTTCAAACTGCTGACCTTGCAGTTAGCAGCCAAGAGGTTAACCACTGTACCACCAGGACTTCTTGTATTCTTTTTGAGCTCTTTTTATTTCTGTAAGGTTGGTAGTAATGCCCCCTCTTATTTCTGATGTCTTCTTTTTGTCTGCATGTATCTTAAGTCTCAGTTTTCTTTTCTGTAAAATAGGCATAATAAAACTTGCCTTGCAGAGTTTAGACATGAGCAGTGAGTACTTGTCACACTTTAACATGCACAGTCATCACCTGGGATCTTGTTAAGATGAAGATTCAGGATCAATATGTTTTCCAGTTTTGACAAGTGCCCAGGTGATGCCGATGAGAGCCAGCACTTGTTTTTCACCTTGTTTCTCCATATCCTTCTGGCTTTTAGTTCTCTTGGGAAAAGTGTTCATTAGGAGCATCTTCTGTCACTTTAAGGATCCATTTTCCCAAGGCGTTTAGTGATTTCCTCTCCAGGGCTGTGGGAGGGGCATGCCCCTTTCTCCCTTGGCCCTACCCTCTCTGATAGTGTCCTCTCCCTCTCAGTGGACAGCTCTGTGAGATCTCTCCCCGCCCACCTGCTCCAAGGAGCCCATGTGAGGGGACTGAGTGCCAGAACGGGGCCAACTGTGTGGACCAGGGCAGCCGGCCCGTGTGCCAGTGCCTCCCAGGCTTCGGTGGCCCCGAATGTGAGAAGTTGCTCAGTGTCAACTTTGTGGACCGAGACACTTACCTGCAGTTCACCGATCTGCAGAACTGGCCTCGTGCCAACATCACACTGCAGGTGCGTGCCTACGTGCCTGGTCACAGAGGGGAGTCAGGGGCAGGGGATCCTGGCCTCAGGTCAGAGCGTGAAGATGCATCCCAGAGGAACCGGCCCCCGTCAGTCAAAGCGCTTTGGTGGTGAGTGTCAGAATCTCAGTTTGAACTAGTTGAAGCACAATTGGAAAGGTTATTGGCTCACAAAACCATCTCAGATAAGGACAGGAGTGGAAGACTGGATCCGGAAAACTAATCTTGCCAGGATGCTCTTTGACCATACCAGGTCTCTACTCCTCCTAACTGCAGCCTCCAGTGCTGCAGACGGGCTTTCTCTGTGTGGCTGAAATGTGGCCTGAGTTATTAGTTCTGTATTTATATTTTTAGCCACATGTTCCTGGGATCTTGCACACTGTCCTTTTCATGTCTTTAATTTCATCTTAGAACATTATCATGTTAACAGAGAAAAAAAATGCAAATCCCAGTTCAATAACATTGATGAATAATACAGGTATTTTGCTTAATATCCCACATTTATTGGGGAGGCATGGGGGAGGGGCTTTCATTGCATATCACGTGGTAAAAAATTAAAAACTCTTCTTCAGACATAGCTCTCTTTTTCCAAAATCCATTCCCTATCACAAATGACGTATCCTTCTTCTCTCTTGTCTCTTCTTCTCCTCTCCTTCCCTCCTTTTTCTCTCGAGGCCCTGGATTGCTATGTTCCTCTCCATATCACTGCTTCAAAATCCTGTCCACTTACATTGTCCACACAGGAAGACAACAGTTATCCTAACTGTTCACAAAATAAAACTTGTAAAAACCTTAACCAGCCATTGCCTGGGGCACATCCTTAGGCTCAGTTTATCCCAATAGGACCCAGATGGCCCCAGAACCTCCCAACATGCTCCATAAGCCCCAGGGCCTGATATTTATTAATTTTAATTAATTAATTTTTTTTTTTTTACCGTGTTTTGGGTGCAAATTTACATAGCAAACTTATTTTACATTCAACAGTCCACGCACATCTGATTTCACAACCCCCATTGTGGTCAGCGCCTGATATTTAAAGCGGCTTTTCCTTGCCAGGTCTAGTTGAACGGTAATCCCAGGGAAAATCTCTGATTGGCCAGGCTTCAGTCACATGCCCATCCCTGGACCAATCAATCACTGAGTCCAGGGAGATGGGGTGCTATGATTGGTCCAGCCTGGGCCATGAACCCATCTCTACAGACCAGGGGGTTGAGATCTTGACCAGAAGAAAAGGAGGAAGAGGGACAAGGCAGGAAAAAAAAAAAAAAAAGGGAAAAGAAAAAAATTATGGCTCCTACAGTGTGTTAAGGGGATTTCCCGTCCAAGGCAAAAATCAGCTTTGCTTGCATGGCTCTTACAACAGGCACGATCTCTTGAGTGGCTCCTTCCTAGTCTGGGTGGCCCTAGCTGTTGGAGAGCCTACCTGAGCTTGTCCTCTGTAGTTTCCACATGGCCCCCAGGCTGCTCCCGCAGAACAGGGCTACCTCACGTTCCTGAATAGAGTTCGAATGTTTCCTCCCTGGGCATATTGCCTCTAGGTCTCCTATTTACTCCTGGCACATAGTTTCCAGGCCTCAGCTGGCCTATCATCTGCCCTTCTTGCCTGGCAACTGGCCAGACGGGCAGTTGATGGTGTTGGAACCAGGGGCTCCCAGCCTCTGTCAGTCCCCCAGGAAAACATGGCATCTGAGAAGGTTGGTCAGGCAGGGAGAACAGTGTTGCCCATAGCAACTCTCTTCCAATCGTGGATCCCCATCTGCCCCACCTACCAGCCCTGTGCTGCTGCTGGGTGGGGTAGGTGGGAGAGAAAGTGCCATTGCTCATCAGGTCTCCACGGCAGAGGACAATGGGATCCTGCTGTACAATGGGGACAACGACCACATCGCGGTTGAGCTGTACCAGGGCCACGTGCGTGTCAGCTACGACCCAGGCAGCTACCCCAGCTCTGCTATCTACAGGTTGGCTTCCTCATGCCCACCAGATGCCCTCAAGCCTGAGGGACTACCACACAGGGTCTCCTGGGCCAGAAGCAAGTAGTTACTGGGACCACTAGTGGAAAGAATATTTGAACCATCTAGTCGATCCCTGCCTGGGTCTGAGGCTCTCTGAGGTCTGAACAGTTGGCCATCTTACCACCACTTCAGAGGTTCCTCAATGGAGACTGATCAGTTGGAGAGCCCTGCCCAAAACTTCTCAGGTTTCCCCTGGGAGCTCCAGGAAGGGGTCTAGGAGGGACCAGGCCACCAAGTCCCCATGGTCCCCTCTCTTAGAGATTTGGTTCTTTGGGAAGCAGCTGATGGAGCACATAGCCTTTCTGGGGGAAGGGCTCAGCCAAAACTGAAGCCCATCCACTGGGGTGGGGGCACCCCATCTTCTTCCAGTGCTGAGACAATCAACGATGGGCAGTTCCACACAGTTGAGCTGGTCACCTTTGACCAGATGGTGAATCTCTCCATCGACGGTGGCAGCCCCATGACAATGGACAACTTTGGCAAGCACTACACGCTCAACAGTGAGGCCCCCCTCTATGTGGGAGGTGAGGACCTGGTCCAGTTAGAGGTGACAGCAGTTCTAAGGTGGGACCTCATTTGCTCTCTGGCCTGAGACTTGTCAGGAGAGCTTGGTGTCCAGAGCACTGAACTTTGGTGGGAAATGCTAAGGGGGTGGGGGAAGTTCTAGTTCTAGTGATGACCATTTTGCTGGTGGGTTATCCTCCGTTGCCTGGAGCCCCAAGCTGTGCTCTGCCCAGCTCAGACTGACCATGCAGGGTGGGTGCCTGGGTTTGGCCTGAGGCCTGGACTGGGATTTTCCTGGCTATCTTCTTACCATGAGCAACTATCCTCTTGTTGTTGGGCCAGAAGGGGCGCCTCCATTCCCAGTCTTGGGGCCTTCAGAGGCCCAGAGCAGCTGCAAGAGACCCTATGACAGGAGTCTCTACATCAACTGGAGACCTCTTTGGCCAGCCTTAAAGGCTTTGCAGGAGATGACTCCTCCCCTTACCTGATCCCACCCCACCTCCCACATCATCTACCATCTGCAAACATTTCTAGATGCAGGGCAGGCTGCTGGGTGCAGTAGGACTGTCTCAGCACTGTGGAGGTGTTTGTTGAGACTTCCAGGCAGATGTGAGGGATGGACCCCTAGGTTCTAATCCCAGCTCTGCTATCTACTCATTGTACGACTTTCAGCATCTGTCAAATGGAGGCAGAGGTGCTTATCTCAGAAAGTCGCTGTGAACTGACCACAAAAGCAGGTGATAAAATGCCATGCACATGAGTTCTAGGCCCCAGACCCTTTGCTGCACTTGGGGTCCCTGGGAGGTAAAAGCTAGTGCCTTGGGTGAGGGCATCCAGACTTAAGCGACAGGGACTCCCAAAGCCTCACCTCCAGGTCTGATGACAGCCTTTTCATTGCCTCTGGGAAAGGAATCTGGGCCCTCAAAGGTAGCAAACACCTTGGCTCAGGGTTACAGAGATGGCAGGATGAAGGCCAAGGGTAAGCGAGGACACTGGAACTAATGAGCTGTTCTCACAGGTGGGTGTCTGCCCTGGCCCTCACAGGGATGCCCGTGGATGTGAACTCGGCTGCCTTCCGCCTGTGGCAGATCCTCAATGGCACCAGCTTCCATGGCTGCATACGGAACCTGTACATCAACAATGAGCTCCAGGACTTCACCAAGACACAGATGAAGCCGGGGGTGGTGCCTGGCTGCGAGCCCTGCCGCAAGCTCTACTGCCTGCATGGCATTTGCCAGCCCAATGCCACCCCGGGGCCTGTGTGCCACTGTGAGGCTAGCTGGGGGGGCCTGCACTGCGACCAGCCAGCCGACGGCCCCTGCCATGGCCACAAGTGAGCCTGGGGTGGGGGACCTGCACTCTGCCCACTCACTCGCCCCTTTCCGTGAGTCCCACTGTCCCATGGAAGAGCAGCCACATGGACATTTTTAAACTCCTGAATTGGAACACATGGCCTAACACAGGGTTTTATTGTTTTGTTTTCAGTTTTTTATGAATAGGGAAAGGTCCCTGGAGACAGACACACTGAGGCCCATTTTGCTCTCTTTGTTTAAATCTTGAGTGACCAATAAAGCCTATGAAGTGACGGCTGGGAGGGGCAGGGCACCCTGTGGGTGGGCCTTGGGTTGGTCCAGCCTAGCTTCACGGAGCTTTTCCTCTGTCCTTGCAGATGTGTCCATGGGAGCTGTGTGCCTCTCGATGCCCTTTCCTACAGCTGCCAGTGCCAGGATGGGTACTCAGGGGCCCTGTGCAACCAGGCTGGGGCTCCAGCAGACCCCTGTGGGGGACTGCAATGCCTGCACGGCCACTGCCAGGCCTCGGCCACCAAAGGGGCACACTGCGTGTGTGACCCGGGCTTTTCGGGCGAGCTGTGTGAACAAGGTCAGGGCCCCCCCTCCTGACATGTCCTCTCCAGGGCCCCTCCCCAAACTTGCTTTAGCAACTTGACCATTTTCTTCTTCCCAACCTTAGCGCCCCCTCGATGCCCCTCCTCTCCTGTATCCTGGGCCACCATTGGACTATGGTGCTCCACTCCTCCCTAGACCCAGTTTATGGCCCCCTGATCCGGGGTAACTGCCCTTTCTGGCTGGGATCTCTCCCAACAATACCTGGTCCCCATCACCCGGGGAGCTGGAATCCTGCAGGAAGTCTGAGGGTTGGGGACTCCTTCCCATGCTCCGTGGCCTTGCTTGACCAAGGAGCATCCGCTAGAATCCAGACTCTGCTGAGGACGGGCGGGGCAAATTGGAGCAATCCAGACCCGGCAGTTTCCCAGTCCCCTAGGCCACGCACGAATTCCAGTTCCTTTTACACCGTATTGCCTCGCAGGCCTCCAGCCTCTTCTTGCACACCTCTAGTAACGGGACCCACCCGACCCCGGAAGCCCCACCTGCCCCGGAGAGCCCTGGCAGCTAGAAAGTTCTTCCTTCACACTGACCGCACTGTGGGCCCCAGGAGGAGCGCTGTGCATGTGCATGCCAGGCAGGGGACGCGGGGAAGGAGGAGGGTCTGAGAGCATGGAGGCCCCGCCCACGGACGTGCCCTCCTCCTGCTGCCGCCCGCGGGAGTGCCCTGAGCTTTCTCTCGGTGTTTGTCCCATCCAGAGTCCGAGTGCCGGGGGGACCCTGTCCGGGACTTTCACCAGGTCCAGAGGGGCTATGCCATCTGCCAGACCACGCGCCCGCTGTCGTGGGTCGAGTGCCGGGGCGCGTGCCCGGGCCAGGGCTGCTGCCAGGGCCTGCGACTGAAGCGGAGGAAGTTCACCTTTGAGTGCAGCGACGGGACCTCTTTTGCCGAGGAGGTGGAGAAGCCCACCAAGTGTGGCTGTGCCCTCTGCGT